GCAAAATCATTAAATTACAATCGAACTCCACTAAAAGCCACTCTCTACAATGGCCATATTCACTCTTATTTTAACATCTCTAAAACGGCCGTGACCCATGTCTCCACAACGGCAACAGCCACTAACATTGGTCCTGACTTCCAGAATGACGTCTCAACAACAGCCAGTTAATCAACGACTGATGAACAGTGTATACAAAATCCCACTTACAACTTAAAGGTCACCAAACCTGATCTGGACCATGCGCAGTTGGTCTCTGTTTCTGATAAGTTTCTGTTTTATATATTTACAGTATATATGCATAAATAAACATTTTTTGAAAAAGATGTTGCACCCTCAAAAAGAAAAAAAATTGTCATATTACACACCGACCTCCACATAACGGCCACCTCTGTACAATGGCCACTTTTCTCTGTCCCCAAGGTGGTCGTTGTGGAGAGGTTCGACTGTACATTGTACATACATATACATGTACAATGTTTTGTATTAGTCCCATGGCTGAAGATTCATTACCGTAATCGTTGTGATAAAACAGTGTTCCAAAGGACTTTTATCCATGATTGCAAATTATTCGCTCTCGATTTCTATGAGGTGATACTTTTAAAATTCGGCCTTTGGCCTGGTTCACTATCACCTCATAGAAAAATTCGATTTCATAATCTATCTGTTAATTATACATTATACATTATACACTATACACTATACACTATACACTATACACTATACACTATACACTATACACTATACACTATACACTATACACTATACACTATACACTATACACNTATACATTATACATTATACATTATAACAGTAGGGTTTTCTTACCAGCTGATGGTGATTTGACTTCTCCAGGACTGTTCTGCAGTGATGCATGAACAATTAATGCGGGGGTATCAGAGGGAATGCCTGCTAAGCCTGAAAATGGTAAATGTCCATATTTGCCCCTTACTTAAAAAAAAATGAATAACTCACTCAGATACATGTACACAAAGCAGTTTTCATTGATTAGATCATCAAATAAAAGGTACCTAAGTCATGCATTCAATTTCGATGATTTCTTTTGTAGAAAAAGATCAAAGAAACATTTTCATAGCCATTATACATAT